GACCGCAAAGGATAAGTTTCTTTTTCTTCATTTTTTTCATTTGATTGAAGTACCTAATTTTATATTAATCAGAAAATAAGCGTCTATATTACATCATTTTTAAAATAGGTATCTATTTTTTTATTTAGGTGTTTAATATTACCAATATTATCATTTTAGTTACTTGAATCGTAATGATCATTAAAATTTTCTATTAAGTGACACATGTCACGTTCTTTAAGCCTTTAATTATAATCCTTTTACTCCCACCCTCAGTCATCTATGGGCATCAATCTATTAAACACCCCCACATAACACAAAGGCTCAAAACAATAAAAGGAATAAAGAGAATTAAATGAAAGGTAATACTTGATTTTATTTGTGGTGTTTAGAAAGCTACCATCAAACTTCCTTATATAGGTAAGGAACTCATTCACTACATTAATTAAGAATTAAACTTATAAATAAAACTTTGTTGGAAATATGGATTGCAAAATCACACCGTTAGCACTAATAGGAAAGATAAATAGTAATTTAAATGAAACAAATTCGTAAATCGTGTCGTGGTAAAAATCACAGCCTTAAAAACGAATTCGCCCCGATGTGTGTAATCGCCTCGAGGTTAACACGGTCGCTCCAAATTTGGTACACCCGAAACCGGAGTGGATTGCTGGTGGTATTGCACTTTTGATCGGAAAGCACATAGAGAACAATTTTGGAAATCAATCCAGATACATCTTAACGTTTTTATTTAATAATTTAGGAAAAAACTGTTTAATTCCATACACATATTACCACGACCACGTCCACGAGCCGAGATGGACGGGCGGCAGCGGCGATGCGCGAGAGTTCCCCTTGTTCTCTTTCACTCAACAAGGAAGTGAAGAATCCAAACCTTAAATTCCATTCCCAATAGTGTTTCCAATACTATGTGAGATTGAACATTACCAACAAACATACCGTTATTTATAAAACTATAAAAATAAACTTAATTAGATGTTAAGACTTAATTGAATGCTAAGACGTTTGATGTTGATATCTCAACACTCCCCCCAACACCAACTTTTATGTCGAGTTGACGACAGAAACTTTTGAGTTTATTACCACCCAAACCTTTTATGAATATGTCTTACACTTGATTTTCTGTCATTATATGTTTAAGTTTAATTTCTTCTTGCAAGACTTTTTCTCTAACAAAATGGTAGTGTATTGAGTTATTTGTTGTGACCATCACTCAAATTTCTTTGTATTCTGATATATTATGTAGTTTCTATTTATCATCTGTCATATGATTTTAACAACCTGAGTCAATGATTTAATCATTTTCATAATCAATTTTATAAGTTGTCATCGTGAGAGTTAGCTCTTCCTTTTCTACTACGAAGAATGTCTTATTCTTCTTCATTATTCAAAGTAACAACATTACTCTTTACAGGTTTTTCTTGACTAACAAGCTTTTGTCATGTGAAAACAACTTTACTTTATGAAAGTATTATTTGATCGTCATATTGTCTTGTTTCGTAGACAACAACTCACTCTCCAGAAGTTGGAGCTTCGTATCGCTCTTCCTAAAAAACAACTCGGTGAATGTTTCTCAAACTTTATTTATGGTTTTGACACCATTAATGTGTTCTAGCACATCTTTCTCCACCATTGTCTTCAAGGCGAACACTGTTTTACCTGTTTTTATCTTTCATTTTCTTAGTATGTCATTTGTATCGTCTACTTTTGGTTGCTCTAGTTCATTGCCATTTACAATCTACCATAGGTCTTGTCCTTGCATATATGACATTATGCAAGTTGACCATGTACTGTAATTATCATTTTTAAGCCTCCTCATTCTGATGATGATATGTAAGTCAGTCATATTATCAATAAAGGATCATCACAAAATTAAATAAAATAATGAAAGTAGTTTGTGAATAATACACCATGTAAGTTCCCTAAGAAAGAGAGATGGATCACACATATTGCTCAAATATCAAATCTTTCCAATACTTTCTTAGATATGTACCGTCACACTACCTCACTACTTTAACAACAATCGGACAACCTCCACCAAAACTTTTGATACCACTTATTGAACACCCCCGTGCCAAAAAAAAGGTTCAAAATAGTAAGAGGAAGAAAAAGAATCAAATAAAAGATAATACTTATTTTTTTTTTTGTGATTAGAAAGCTACCATCAAGCTTTCTTATATAGGTAAGAAACTCATTCAGAACATTAATTAAAAAGAAAACTTATAAATAAAACTTATCGACATTTATAAAACTAAAATCATAAAATTAATTAAATGCTAAGACGTTCGGTGTTGATATTTCAAAACGATCCACCGTCGAACGTCCACTTATCTGTCATTGTTCACCACTAACTGGCCATCACTCTTCCGTCTTCTTAAACCCTAAATTCCTAAAATTACAAATACCCATTTTGTAAACTATAATACTACCCTTTAATTTGCCTCCAAGTCGATTGAATGTTTGCGGGGACGTAAGACAGTAAGGGGAAGTACAGAGAGAGGGATATGGGCGGAGAGAGAGAGAGAGAGAGAATGTAGAATGGGGAATGGAGAGGGTGACAGAAGGGTGGGTGTTTGGCGAGGGGAGGAGAGAGATTTTTTTAAAAGTATTTTAAATATTTATTAAGTTTTTTTTTTATTTTAAATAAAACTTTTGAAATTACTTAAATGTGACATGTTTAACAATATAATTTAAAGATCGTTATGGCTCGAACACCTAAAATAATAACGTTTGTAATATTATGCATATGGATGAATCAAACAAAAATTTAGGCACTTATTTGAGGAAAACTATTTCAAAAAATATATCTTAAGATTGTTAGAAATATAGCAATCTGAGACGATAAAATGAAATAATAATTAAAAAATGAATAAAGTACATTAATTTGTATTTGAGTGTCATGCCACCATCAATGCATGCAATACCAAATAATTGGCATGTAGCGACAAAACCAAATACAACCAAGAAGCATATTCGTAAATTTTTTCCACGGTGATTCAACAAATTGCGGCAAAGGACAATCAACACCTCGATAGTATCTCATCGCAAAGTTTGTTTACGTGAATAAAAAATAAAACAAAACGACTAATAACATGGAAAAAAATTAAATAATCGAAAGGAGTATAAAAAATAAACACACAACTAGAACCGAAACAACCTATTGGAAACAAGCTGAGGCCAACAGCTACGCAGTTTCCTTAACAAATTTTCGGCAACTCCTTGATGCTCGAGATCTTTGGTCGTCTGTCTCTCAGGATATAACAACGAGATTATCAATGCAAAGTAGCACAACTGTCGAGATCACAAACTATTCATTGTCTTTGTCTATCATCGAAAAAAAAAAACTAGAGTAGAGAAAACTTTTTGAATAGTTTTTGAGTTGTTTTGAATTATGTTTAACCTAGTAGGTTTACACGATGTTTATAGGGAATTCACATTGTGAACAATTGAATATTTTTGACATAATAAAACATTAATGAGGATCAAACAACCAAACAATTTCTAAAATTATTGTTTTCATTAAAAGATTTTTTTAATATTTATTTTTTAATCCCAAAATAAAATTTGAAAATATATGTTTTATTTGAGGAAAATATCTCACATTTGGGTTAAAATATCTGCAAGCCCAAAAGAACCTGACCAGTTCGGACATTAACATTACCCATATCGTGCACGTTGACACATGTATGAACCAACAATTGATTCCATGTTTTTCCTCAAAAACGTTTGGATCAATCTCTCATTCAAAACTCCAAAATTATCAAATTTTTCCAACAATTTGAGCACTTATTTTCTAATTAACCCTTATTAGAAAGATAGATATAGAGAATTATAATAAAGATTTATGATTATAAATATAAACTAAAATCAAAATTGTGATATTTTATAATTATTAAAATAAAAATTAGACATTTAAGATTACATAATGATTATGTAAAGACATTTAAAATCTAATTTAAAAACTCAAACAAAAAATATATATATGAATATACATATGATCTCATCGGCAAATAAACCATAAAAGGAGATTAAATTATTGAAAGACCACAAAAAAATAACAAATTAAAATCAAACAACGTAAAAAACTATCCATGAAAACAAATCGTATATCCAACTCCAATATAAGGACCTAAAGTATGGAAGATCAACACGATGATAAATAAATGATATTTTGATTAGTCATAATGATATCAAATTAATCCTGAAAAAAAAATAAACGAAAAGAACAGTTAAATAATCTAAAATTTACCAAAGGACATAAGAAAACATGTAATAAAGATATAAGAAAATTAAAAAAAATTAAATACTAAAACGAATAAAAAATAATAATTTAAGTACTAATTCGTAGTTTACCCTTTTATTTTTATCTTTATCAAAATAAATAATCTGACAATCTACAAACAGATGGTCATATATCGAGTAACCGTAGTGTTTTATATTAATATTATTATTTGATTATTTTTCGATTTTTTAAATTAAAATAAATATTAAAATGCAACTTTGCCAAGCTCATGAATGCATTTGACAGAGTAGGTCAATATATTAACTACATAAATGTACGATTCCAAATGTGAATCAATTTTAAAATTTATATGATTTTAAATTAATTTACTTTAATATCAAAATTTAAATTTAAGTAGAACCGGAATATTAATACATTGATCTTTTAACAACCAGATAATATGATGATATGATGTTAATGTCACGTTGATATAAAAATTAAGCATATAGTTTTTATTTCATCTTTCTTCTTTTATTATTAAATTTTATTTTTCTATCTATTTGTACTCAACGTTGAAAATAAAAATCATATAAAATTAAATACATAGAATAGCATTATTCACTATTAAAATATTAATAAAACTTGGGGCGTAGATGAATGGATTAATTATTAAAATATTGAATAATACAATATTATTTTAATATTGATATTTAAATCATAATTTTTTTTTTTGAGGAAGCATTTGACAGGGTTTGAAAAACATGGCGCAATTTACAGTGGAGCCAGTTGTTTACTGCTGTGGACCGACATATGGTACCAAAGGAAAAAGAAGGGACGCAAAATCTCCATTTATAAAAACATGGCTTCAGCCCTATGTTTCTCAGGAAGCAAACATCCCCCAAATCAATTTTCTCGAGAAAATGATCCACTTTGTTCAAGCGTCCATCCTCTCTTGTAATCAGCCACATTCGGTGAGGTCTAACCCTCTGCAGGCTTTGCATCTCTCTTTGTTGACCGCTATAGGTCAACATTTTGTTTTTTTTTCTAATGAAAAAATCTAACCATTTCAGGGATGGTGCATTGCTATTGAGCTTGATCAGTAATCCGATATTGATTCGCTTTGTTTGCTCAAATTGCCAGTAATAGGAGACGGGAACCAATTATCTGGTAAGTTTGTTTTTAACTTAATTTCTTCTTTTAGTCATTTCTTCTTAATGTTTGTTGTTTTATCTATGTTTTATGATTATTTATTGAATATAATTGTTTTTATTAATTTCATTTTTGCTCATTGTTTAGATTTTTGGTCAGAGAACCTGTTAAATTGATTAAGAAATAGACAAAATGATGGTTCATTAGCAGCTGCTACAGACAAGAGTTTCATTTATTATGAAATGTTAACTTGAACTTCTGAAATCTATGAACTGCTGTTTAAATGCTAACTTGAACTTCTGAAATGAACCATAGGTTGAACTAAAGCAGAAAAACGTTTATTCCACTGAGAAACCATTGCTTTGCCAGATATCAATTCATAAACTACGTCAGGTTTGAAAAGTTCATGTCATCATCATATGGGATGTTTTTCATTGATACTGTTATTAATTTTACTTGTTAAATTGATTAAGTAATAGACTAAATTGCACTTTTGAATATAGTGCATATACTGTCTAGATACTTTAACCGCAATGTGTCTTTTGTTAGTTTATGTAGTTGGTTTATTTTTTATCAGGTGTTCTCTATCCATTTTGCAGTTACTTTTTGAAAGATTTTGAGAAAATGTCTGCCTCTAAAAAGCCATATAGGCGTAGTCAATCTTCAATCAAGTACAGGGTGAGCCCAGCTGAGGGGGCTTTCTTTGAGATTGGTGAGCTTGTTCCTGAAGAATATTCCCCTTCCCTGCCTGATAATAATAAGAAAATCCGAATTATATTTGAGGCCAAGCAATCTCAAATACTGAGCACAGCTGAGTTTATCTCGTCGTTAAACCAAATATGGAACTCTGCAAGTTGTCTTGCTATTCCTCAACAACAGACAAATCTGGAAAGAGTCTGTCTTGCCTCTCTGAAAGAGGATATAATGGTCAATATGGGGTCAGGAGAAAATTACACCAAATCTGTTTCAGCTGATAGTAAATACTTTTGCATTGATTTGACGACAGCTAGGCAATTTCCGTCTGTCATGAAGCCAAACTTTGATTTTGTCAAAATAACCAAGAAGATATCCATGATTGATTCTTCTATTGGAAATATTAGACATTCATTCTGCCAGGGGCTTTTATGTTGTGGCTCTGACTTTTCTAATGAGAGTTGGAAAGGAAACGGGCTTGCGGCTTTTGGATTTTCATTTGAAGTTGGAAATATCTACAAATGGATGAGAAAGATGATTCCTCCTGCTGGACTTCAGTATTTTTCCAATGTCCCAGGGATTGCGAATAAGAAAATAGGTGAATATTGCTTTTCATCATATAGAGCTAGTCTGACAGAAAACATTCCCATCGAAAATGCTGAACATTATTCTCATCATATCAAATCTAAAGATCTGTCCATATCTCATGATGATAAATTGGTTTCTAATACAAGAGGGACAACCCCTCTGTGGTCGGATTATCTCCTCACTGATGTTCAAGAAACCAACGCAGATTGTAGTGTTTCGAGGACTTCAGATTCTGATCTTTGTGCTGATTATCATTTCAACTCTTTAGCTTCCCATTATAGTACATTCAAAGAACAGCAATATCTTAACAATGGCAGTGAGTACCTTGAGAATCAACGAAAACAGCCCGAACTATTTTCCACAGATACTGGTGCAACAGAAAGTCACTCCACAGCAAGTGAAAAACCTCGATTTGCACTTGCTAAACATGAGCACGCTTTTTCTGGGGCTTTTGCTGGAATATTTGTTAGCCTTTGCCTACATCCAATTGACACAGTTAAGACAGTCCTTCAATCTTGTAATGCAGAGCAGAAGTCGATTTTTTATATTGGACGATCAATAATTTCTGAAAGAGGTATACTGTTTTTACAGAACAGAGATGACTGAGATTGATTGTGCTCATTTTTATTGTGAATTATAGTGACCTACATGCTTTCTACATTTTAATTATTTGATATATACAGGTTTAACTGGATTATATCGTGGCATTGCTAGCAATATTGCATCTTCAGCCCCGATATCTGCCCTTTATACTTTCTCATATGAATCAGTCAAAGGGGCTTTACTTCCTCTCCTCCCTAAGGTAACTTGCATCTTTCAATGTGATGTGTGGATCACATATCCTGACTCACTGAGTTGTAACTATTTAGTAATTGCCTGTCCACTAGTAACTTGCTAACTCCTTCAGTTTGATTCTAGCTCACCTGTTTTTCTTATTGTTTGCAGGAGTATCATTCTTTGGCTCATTGCATGGCTGGTGGTTGTGCAAGCGTTGCTACTTCTTTTATTTTTACACCTAGTGAGCGTATAAAGCAGCAGATGCAAATAGGTGTACACCATCAAAACTGCTGGTATACCTCCAAGCTCTTGTACTAAAATTTTCAATATCAGAAGATTAATATGTTTTAACATGTTTTGTGTTTGTTTTCTGCTCTCATATTTTCGTCTAAAAACTCCATCTGTGTTTACTATCAATTTTTCTTCTGATGTGATTCATATATATGTCTCTCAATGATATCCAAACTTTGTTTCTTCAGGACGGCCTTAGTTGAGATTGTCAAAAAGGGGGGTCTGCCTTCACTCTACACTGGGTGGGGGGCTGTACTCTGCAGGAATATTCCACAGTCGATTATCAAGGTTCGCTCTTTTTAAATTCATAGTTTAATTTTGCTGTATGCCATGTAACCTTCAAAGAAGAGGCTAAAGAAATGACTCTCCCATTAAGTGGGATGTTGCAAGCTCCAGGAGAGAGTGAAAAGGATTAACATAACAAAGATACAATTCCATGAAGTACAAATTTGTTCGTAATTCCTCCCATAGTGCCAACCATCCTACCTCTCCTCTTTACCATCCCTAATTCCTTTGATGTGTAATTTATGATGTCATCATTGCTTATATGCAGTTCTACACATACGAAAGCTTGAAGCAAGTCATGTTGTCATCACCGCGATCCCCTGCTCAGCTGAACACATTACAAACAGTTTGTCTTCCACATCGTTCTTTCTAAAACAACCTTGACGTTTTGGCAATTCAATCTTAGTATTATTCTTACAACCTTCTGGAATAGCACTTACATAGGAGATATGGTCTTACTCTGCAGCTAATGTGTGGAGCCCTAGCCGGTTCAACTGCGGCTTTCTTCACAACTCCGTTTGATGTGGTTAAGACAAGATTACAGACACAGGTCTGCAATCTCTATTATTTCATTATATCCCCTGTTTTCGGCCGGCCACATTGGCTTGCAGGTTTTGGTATTTTGAGAAATTTACACGAATTAATGTGATTTGATCGTATCAGAATCTTTAAATCTTTCATGTTCTAAATGTGTTTGTTCTGGCTTACTGGATTGTATTACTTACATGAGGGTTTTCACACAGATACCGGGGTCTTTGAGCCGATACAATAATGTTTACCATGCCCTTCAAGACATATTGATGCATGAAGGTTTGAAAGGTGCATACAGGTAACCTCCGAGTACATATATTGTCACTAATATTCAGTTAAGTCAGCTTATATTGAAATTCCATTTAGATCAACTTGGCACAAGCACATACCAGACGATGTTGTTAGTCGAAGATTACTCGATATTCGATAGCTGAACTTTAGTTTTTGTTCTTTTACAAACTGGATGATTTCGTTTCTTAAAATGTCGTTAGGGGATTGGTTCCTCGGTTAGTTATGTATACGACACAAGGAGCACTCTTCTTTGCATCTTACGAGTTCTTGAAGCAGTTATTATGTTTGGAGGCGCCGCAGTTAACCACTCACAATCAGGAAAAGGGAAACAAAGACGAATCTTCATTACGCTTACCATCATCGACGTTGACATTGGCCACAAGAACGTCGTCGTCGTCGTCATCGTCACCATCAAGGTTGCACAGTTGACATACATAGTAGTTAGAAAAGCACATACATGGAGGCATTGTTAGCAATCTGATGGTGACATGTAGCATTAAAGCATTAGAGGATCATTCCCATATCCAGATATTTACAAGTGTAGAAATAATGAGTCACATTTCTTGTGGCTAGGCTTGTATTTGATTTTGAAATCTTAATAAATCCGAGATGGAGGTCGAACTTTATGTCATGGGACTAATTACACAATTTTAGAAGAGAAATTAAACTACTAATAAAAGGTAATTAAATTATATTATCGAGAATTAAAATAAAAGATATAAACTAACGATGCAAAGAGCATCGTTGAGTACCACTAACGACATCATTAATTTAATTTATAAAAATTTAAAATTTTAAAGGACTCAACATATGATTATAAATTAGTTAAAATATTAAATGTAAATCATTTAAAATAAAATATTAATTACATTATTTTCCTTAGTAATTTTTTTAACAATAATTGGATAAAATATCAACCCCTAAACTAAAAAACCTAAATATTTTTCCTTATTTAAATAATTTACCTTAAGATTTTTAATGTCTTTTAGAATTTTCAATTTTTAAAAATTAAATTTATAATGCTCATCGTTAGTGGTGCTCGTCGAACATTATAAAATTTTCCTATTTAATATTAGCATGAGTTGTACCAAATGTTGGGCGGATGTATGTGGCTCCTTAGGATAGCCAATACACACTCATTATTTTGACAAAAATACTAAATTTAATTTAATTTGTTAAAGAAAATAAAAATATAAAAAAATTTACATACTCAAAAATTTTAGAATAAAATATTTTAAAATCTAATTTTTTTAATTTCTAAATCTGACGAAATGACAAAGATGAGGAAAAAGGAAAGTTGAATATCTGACGTGTCAATGGCGGAGACAAGTGGACCATGAAGGAGTAATATGGTGCCGCACCATTTAATATCCATCTTTACCCAATACGAAATATAAGAAAATAATATAAAATAACTAAAGAATGACACTTTATTTCTTTCCTTTTTCCTTTTCGTCCGAATCATTTTTTTCTAAGTTTTCTTTATTCACTTTCATTTATATATATATATATATATATATGGAGAGAATTATTATGTAATGTATATTTTATATTAGAATGTATATGTGTTTTAATTGATTAAATAAAAATTTAAATAAATATTATATTATAATCTCTTCAGATTATTTAAAAAAAATTAAAATTTTAATAGTTAAATCTTTAAATCTTAAACTTTTAATTCAATTCTTAATATTAAACATTAATATTCTAAATAAACATTTAAATCTGTAAATAAATAAAATCGTCTAAATTAAAATTTATACAAATAGGGTATAAATATAACTTTTAATATAAATATATGCTTTTTTAAAATAATATAAAATAATTATAAAATTTTATTTGATAAAAAATTTCTTAGTCAATACATATAAAATTTATAAACACAATTATTCAAATGTAAATTCTTTAAATAAATTAAAAAATATTAATGACTAAAATTATCAATAGATATAATAATAGCGTGTAAACTAAAATTTATTTAAATGGTGTATGAATATAACTTTCCATATATGTATATATGCGTGTATATATAATTTAGTAATTGTACTCGGCATTTCTGCAACAATCTTTTCTTTCCATTTCACTGAAGATAAATCCTAGAATTTGATTTTGAATCGGTCGAAAACAGCTAAGGTGATTAACTCCTTATAATCTTCTCTTTGTTCTTTAAACTTGGCTTAGATTTGTATTTTGACTTAAAAATTCGTTGTTCACTTCGAAAGGCTTGCTTAAATCTGTTCCGTTCTTCTTTCTATTATATTCTATTTTTTGTGTTTTAATTTTCATTGAATTTGATTCAGAATCGAATCTGCATTCGTTTATTATTTGTATGTGGCTCTGTGCTTGTTGTGTTTGTTATTATTAGATTCTTGAATTGGGAAAAAGGTTTAGCAGTTAGTTAGTTAGTACAACTTGATGCGAGTTTTAATGGAATAAGTTCAGTTTTAATCTTTTACTAATTGAATTCCAATATTGCTTTTGTTTTTGGAAAATTACTTGGATGACAGCATTGTTAGTTGATTAAAACTTTGAATTTCTGCGACAATCAATGCTCAATGCTTAACTATCCCGTGGAAGTTGGTAATGGAAATTTGTGGTTTCTATAATTTGTGATATGTAACTGAGAGGCACCTGTTGTTGTATGCTTGAAGGGGGCGGATTGATGGCGCTTGTTTCTAGGGCAGGCTCATCGTACTGTATCCATACTGATATAAGGCGTAGTAGAACCAGGCAGAATGTGGCCTTTGGTGTGGTGAACAACGTTGAGACTCCTTTAGTGAAGGAAAAATCTTTCAGTTTTTCTTCATTATCATGCAACAATGTGAATATAGCACAGAAATTCCCTTTAGGAACTCTGGGATTTCGAGGCAAAAGAAGGAATAGTATGATTGTTGCAGCAAGCCCTCCCACAGATGATGCTGTGGTTGCTACGGACCCCTTAACGAAAGAGGATCTTGTTGGATACCTTGCATCTGGATGTAAGCCCAAGGAAAATTGGAGGTAATAATTCCCCTTCTTTGTTTTGTTTGGATTAGAGTACATTTTAAACTCGGTTATTCTTCCTAAAGATGAATTTATCATTTTATCTTGTCCATTTTATGCTTTTAAACTTGTATATTACCAGTCTCATACATGATATTTTAAGAACCCTTTATTGCCTTTATAACTTGCTGATATCAATAGCTTGCCATATTCGGTCCTTGATACACATTTTAGTATTTTATATTGGGTCCAGTTCTAGTTTAAATCTTTCCATTAGCAAACTGGTCCTCTTTCCATATTTTATACTTGTTCGCTAATGCAAGTATTTGGTTTACTCAGGATAGGTACAGAGCATGAAAAGTTTGGTTTCAAGATCAAAACTCTGCGACCGATGAAATATGAACAAATTGCAGAATTGCTGAATGGTATTTCAGAGAGATTTGATTGGGATAAAGTAATGGAAGGTGATAAAATTATTGGACTTAAACAGGTAACCTGAGTCTCTTTACTTATGGTGGTTCATTATGCTATTAATTGAAATGCTTAGCAATTCTATTTAGGAAGAGACTTTGCATTACAAGTTACTTGCGTTCTTGTTTTCTTCTTATTTGCATATGCAAATTTTGGAAAAACCTTTATTTTTTTGTGGTTAGGGGAAGCAAAGCATATCATTGGAACCTGGGGGTCAGTTTGAGCTCAGTGGTGCACCTCTTGAAACTTTGCATCAAACGTGTGCCGAGGTCAATTCACACCTCTATCAGGTTTGTTGAAGATAAAAGAATAGTCTAATGCATGCAACCTTTTAACTAAGTTCAACATTCTTAAGAAACTGCATGCAGAAGTAGCATCTGTCAAAGAATTTGTACTATTTATAAGGTCAAGATTCATACTGTCTAAAGAGAATGTGCTTTTGTGATAACTTCTAAATCATCTAGATTACTTTGTGGAACACACTTCAAAATTGTCGGGATGTAATCCCTTCTAAAAGTATTATCTTGTTATCTGCCTTTTTGTTAATTTCTTTGTTCAAGTACCCTTAACCTTTCCAGTTTTACTTCAGAATATATCATGCGTCTATTACCCTGTTACTAGGTCAAAGCTGTTGCAGAAGAAATGGGAATTGGATTCTTAGGGATTGGCTTCCAGCCCAAATTGGCAATAAAGGACATTCCTGTCATGCCTAAGGTATAACTGAGTACTTTTTATGATTTTAAATTCAATAAAAAGTAGAAATCACATTTTTTTGATGTAGTAAACGTTGTAATGTTGTGTTTTTTCTCATCTTTTTTTTTCATTCTTTCGATACCTGATCTTTGCTATTGCAATTTTATCATCCTATCATTTTATTATAGTCTGACATAGTTCTTTTGCTCAGGGAAGATATGAGATAATGAGAAATTACATGCCTAAAGTTGGCTCACTTGGTCTTGATATGATGTTTAGGACATGCACAGTTCAGGTAAGTGAATTTACATTTCCAATTATCAAGCCTTTCTGCAGAAGATCCTTCTAACAATTTTTGACGTCTATGATTTTCTATAATAGGTAAATCTGGACTTCTCTTCAGAAGCTGACATGATCAGGAAATTTCGTGCTGGTCTTGCTTTGCAACCTGTGAGAACATTAATACTTTGTCTTCCACTGAAAATCTCTGCTTTGCTTTTCTTCTAACTAGTCAAGCAACTGAAACAGATAGCAACAGCTTTATTTGCAAATTCTCCCTTTACAGAAGGAAAGCCAAATGGTTACCTTAGCATGAGAAGGTTTTGAAATCTTTTACTATAAATTCATATTTCTGTATTAAAGTTTGTACTGATTTTTATATAAAAATGAATACAGTCAAATCTGGACTGATACTGATAAGGATCGAACAGGCATGCTTCCATTTGTATTTGACGACTCCTTTGGGTAAGCTTTCTTTGTGTTGCGATACTATGAAAATTTGGATCCATTTGACATAAACCATCCCTTGTGTCTGGAGAATTTCATGATGGTATATTTGCTGCAGGTTTGAGCAGTATGTTGACTATGCTCTTGATGTTCCAATGTACTTTGTTTATCGGAAAAAGAAGTACATTGACTGCACGGGAATGACATTCAGGGTTTACTTCTATCCTTGATATATAGTCTTGTAAATTGAAGTTCTTCTGTAGCCATTCTTTTTCACTCATGTCATGTATTCACGCTGCTGTATTGCCCACATTCTTTTCCATAAATTCTTGATAACTCTTTTACCTCAAATTTTTTCCTATCTTGATAACACTGTTAATGTTTTAGGATTTTATGGCTGGAAATCTTCCGTGTATTCCTGGTGAACTGCCAAACCTTAATGACTGGGAAAATCATTTGACAACTATATTTCCAGAAGTAATTGCTTAATTTGAAATGATCTTAAACTTCGTCCTTTCCCTATGATTTTATGTTATTTAAGCCATGCGATTCTTCCCATTCAGGTTCGACTGAAGAGGTACTTAGAGATGAGGGGAGCTGATGGAGGGCCCTGGAGGAGGTTATGTGCCCTGCCAGCATTTTGGGTAATTGGCCCTTTTGATGTGCTCATGCATAATTCCTTTGTTTGTGAATTATTTAGTAATACTTTCTATTGAAAATCAGTATTTTTGACAGCATTGTACAAGTTTGAAGGCTAGG